AAAAGTTCTCAGTGTGGCCTGAACTGCTCTTCTACCTGGAGCACTAGACTGAGGACCCACTGCCTGAAGGTTCATGGCCTTGCTTCCTGAAAGTCCTTGGCCCTTCTACCTGGAGGCCTTGGCCTCTCTGTCTGGTGATCCTGGTCCTATCACCTGGACCCCCAAACCCACTGCCTAGAGGACCTGGCCCCACCACCTGGATGCTCCTCCCAGCTCCCTGCACGTCCGAACCCCACTGTCTGGAGGACTTGCCCCCACAGCCCTGCTGCTGGTATGCTCCTGCTCACCACCTGGACACCCTGTTGCCTATGAACTGTGCCAGAGATAGCAATATCACAGGTAATCCCATTTCTTCTCCCCTTCCAGAGCTTGGGCTGCCTTTAGCCTTGGGCACCTTGGACCTGCCTAGCTTAGCTGCAGCAGTTGCCTTACAGAGCAGACTGCTAACTCACAGGACATATCTCTCCCCAACTGAAGCAATTATTCCCTTGAGTCAGAAGCTCAGAGAGAAACTCAGGCAGGGTGGGTGCCCTGCTCTCCCCTGGAGCAGTGACTTCCTAAGCCAAAGTTTTCCAGACCAAGAAGGTGCTAAGGCCTCAGGAATGAAAACTCTACCACAGCAATGTCACAGAAGGAGCAGACTACCTCACACCCTACACAAACCCAAAACAAGATATCACAAACCCCCCGAAAAGTGACATAATATCTATGGATTTCCTGAAGCCAAAAAATCTGATGGAGCCTTCTGACACAAAATTTAAAAAATACAATGACTGGATATTTTCAATGAGTGAAAGACAAACTCAAAGAATTACAGGACTCTACAGGCAAAAATTGATAAGAACTTAAAAAACAACAACAAACCAATCCAAGACAATGCAGATAAAGCAAATAAGGCATTAGAGGCTCTGGAAAAACAAGAAATCGCAATCCAGAATATGAGAACCAATGTTTCAGATGCTGTCAACATTATTGAGAGACATATAGACAGAGTTGAAGAGATGGAACACAGAACCTGCAAAATAGAAGCTAAATTATCACCACTGATCTGCTAGGGAAAAAAGCAGAATAAAAAATGAAGGACAAAGAAGAAAGCCTGAGAATAATGTAGGACACCATCAAGAAGAATAACATGTGCATAATGAGAATCTCAGAACAGGAAGAAGCAGATAAAGGCACCAAGAAATTTGTGGAAGAATTAGTAGAAGAAAAATTTTCTAGGTATATTGAAGAATGAGAGACTATATATTCAAGAAGCTAAGGGAACACCATATAGAATAGACCCCCAAAGAAAAATACCAAGGCATATCATAGTCGAATAGGCCATAACCAAATATAAGTAGAAAATTCAGAAAGCAGCTAGGGAGAAACAAAGAGTAATCCATAAGGGAGAGCAAATAAGATTAAGTGCTGATTTCTCAGAAGAAACCATATGAGCAGGAAGACAGTGAAAATGCCATATACCAAACATTCAAAGAATAAAACTGTCACCACCCAAGAATATTGTACCCAGCAAAACTGACCATCAAATATGAAGGCGAGAGCAAGATATTCTAAGAAAAGCAGAACCTAAGGGAGTTTGTAAAAACAAGACAAGCATTGCAGGAAACACTGAGAAACATCCTTCTTACAGAGGTGCCACAGAAAGCAGGATGGACCAAAGTAACCACCAACAACACCAAAAAGAATTCAACAAAATGATAGCAATAAAAGCTTTCCTCTCAATAATTATGCTGAATGTGAATGGCTAAAATGTATCACTGAAGAGAAAAAGAGTAGCATTTTGGATAAAAAAATCAAACACAAACCCCATCAATATGCTGTGTACAAAAGACAGGCCTGAAAAGTGAAGATAATGAAAGATTAAAAATAAAAGGGTGAAAAGAAACTATACCAAGCAAATGACAACCAGAAAAAAGCAGGAGTAGCAATATTAATCTGATAGAAGAGATTTACGTGCAAAAACCATCACAACGGACAAGGAATGTCACTACATAATGCTTACAGGGTCAATAGAACAAGAGGAAATAACAATAATAAATATCTCTGCACCACATGATAGAGGTGCAAAATATACAAAACAAACACTAACAAAACTGAAAAAAGAAATAGACAATAGTATGGTAGTATGAGACCAATCTCAAGAAAAGATAGAACTACCCTACCAGAAAGAAACCCAACAAAGATGCTGAAGAATTAAATCACACAATAAACCAACTCGATTTCATAGATCTATATAGGCTAAGGCATCCAAAAAAAGTGCAGACATTCTCCAGAAGAGATCACATTTTAGGTCATGCAAGCATTAAAGCAAGCATTAATAAACATAGAAGTAATACAAAGCATCGTCTCAGACCACAATGCTACAAAACCAGAAATTAATACCAAGAGGATAAAGGAGAAAAAAACTCCCCATACATTTGGAAGCTGAATAACACCTTGTTTGAACATGAGTGGATAAGAGAAGAAATAAATAATGAAAGTAAACGTTTCTTGAAACAAATGACATTGAAAACACAACTTACCAAAACCTCTGAGGAAAAGCCAAAGAAGTAATTAGAGGTCCATTTATAACATTAAGCAAACATATAAAAAAAAGGAAAAAAAGATCATTGACTTTCGAACCCAACATCTCCAACAAATTGAAAAAGAACAGCAAGAAAACCTGACAGCCTCTAAAACCCTGCAATTATAAAAATTAGGACAGAAATAAATTAAATAGAAAATAGAAAAACAATTGAAACAATCAGCAAAACCAGGAGTTGAGTTTTTGAAAAGGTAAAGAAAATTGACAAACCACTAGCAAAACTAACAAAGGAAAAGAAATAAAAGACACAAATAATCCAAATAATAGATAGATAAAAGGGACAATGACACAACAAAACCAACTAAAAGAAAAAGGTTAACAATGGAATATTATGAAAAACTATACTCAAACAAATAAGAAAACCTAGAGGAGATGGACAAATACTTAGAAACTCACAATCTACCTAAACTGATGCATACTGAGATTAAACATCTCAACAGACCCATTACAAAATAAAAAATTGAAAAGGTAATAAAATAACTTCCAGCCAAAAAAAAAGCACCCTGGATCAGATGGTTTTACAAGTGAATTTTATCAAACATTCAGAAAAGAATTGTCACCAATTCTACATACAGTATTTCAGAAAAGAGAAAAAGATGGAATTCTCGCAGACTCATTCTATGAAGCAAACATATCCTTGATACCAAAGTCAGGTAAAGACACCACCAAAATAGAAAACTACAGGCTGATTTCTCTCATGAACATAGATGCAAAAATCTTGAATAAAATTTTGACCAATAGGATCCAACAGTACATCAACAAAATAATTCACCATGACCAAGTGGAATTCATTACAAGTATGCAAGGATGGTTCAACAAAAGAAAACAATCAGTGTAATTCATCCCATTACAAAGCAAAGAACAAGAACCACATGATCCTATCAATTGATGTAGAAAAGGCCTTTGACAAAATCCAACAGCCTTTCATGATTAAAACACTCAACATTTTTTCTAGCCTAAATGTTATTTATTGAAAAGATCAGAGAAGACAGAAGTCAAGGCCCCCGTTGAATAAGTAGTGGAAAAAGACAAGCAGTGTAACTCATTTGAGCCTGCTCAGCATACTCTCTTGTAACCCCACTGCACCTTCTTGTTAATGGGCATCTTGAAGAAGCAGTCAGACTGCATGGATGCAGCTATTTTTTCCAAAGCTTCAAAACAGCACATGAAAGTCTTTATATTTGGGGATTTATCCAGGTACTTGGGTTCAAACACGTGTTTCTGACTGAAGACATCATAAGCAAGAGAGTCCATAAAAGTGAGCTTTCCCCTTGCAAACTAGGAGAATTTTCCCAGGAACAAAGAATGGTTTTAGTTGTCCAGGTAGCTGTTCCAAGTACTGAGCCTTCAAGTTTTCATGGTCAGGGTTGTAGCAGACCCAGATAAGTTGTGTTCAGAAATCCATTACTTGGTTCTTTATGATGTATCTTTTCTTCTTCCATCTCACCACACATATTGTGTTTGCAAGCACTGTAGTGCAAGATATCATTGTCCAGCTCTCAGATGCATAGAAAGTAATTGGAAAGACCATGGCGTGAATCAAATGCACCTTTGTTCTTAAACTGACATCATTACTTCTCAATAATTTGGACTAACTACAGATTTTCCCAGTGCAATACATCTCCTTATTTCCTGACTGCTGGTACCAAGGGTATTGTTGTGGATCCAAGCAAGATGAAGCTAATGACAGTTTCAATCTCCTCTCCATCCATCATGATGCTGCCTATCAGTCCAGTGATAAGAATCTTTGTTTTCTTGATATTGAAATGCAGTCCATACTGAAAGCTGCATTCCTTGATCTTCTGCAACAATGATTCAAATCCTCCTCAGTTTCAGCAAGCAAGGTTGTGTTATTTGCATAACGCAGGTTATTGATGTCCTCTTCATAGAGTCCAGGTTCTTGTAGAACTTGCTCAGCATACAGATTGAATAGGTATGAAGAGAGAATACAGCCTGACACACTCCTTTCTAAATTTTAAATCATGCAGTGTTCTCCTGCTCTGTTTGCACAGTAGCCTCCTGGTCCAGGTATAGGTTCCTCATGAGCACAGTTAAGTGCTCTGGGATTCCCATTCTTCTCAATTTCAACCATAACTTGTTATGATACACACAGTCAAATACCTTTGCATAATCTACAAAGCATAAATACACATTCTTCTGTAATTCTTTACGTTCAGCCAGGATCCATCTGATATCAGCAATGCTATCCCTGGTGCCACGGCCTCTTCTAAATCCTGCTTGAACTGCTTGAACTTCCGGCAGTTCCTTATCTATAAGAGTTACTTAATAGGTCTGGCTATATTTCTTGGCATAACTTTACTAGAGTGGTTGTAAGGGTTCTGCTGTTTTTCTTTACTTGTCTTTTTTTTTTTTTAAATTTTTTTTATTATTATTTTTTTACAGAATTTACTACAAAACCCCGTATCCAGCGAGCCAACTGCATGTCTTTGGGCATGATGGTGACTCTCTTGGCGTGGATGGCACACAGGTTGGTGTCCTCAAACAGGCCCACCAGGTACTCCTCGCTGGCCTCCTGCAGGGCGCCGATGGCCGCGCTCTGGAACCTCAAGTCCGTCCTGAAGTCCTGCGCGATCTCCCGCACCAGCCTCTGGAAGGGCAGCTTCCGGATCAGCAGCTCCGTGGACTTCTGGTAACGGCGGATCTCCCGCATACCCACGGTCCCGGGCCTGTAACAATGCAGCTTCTTCACCCCACCGGTGCCGGCGGACAGAGCGCTCTTCCTGGCCGCCTTGGTGGCCAGCTCTTTGCGGGGGGCTTTCCCCCCCACGGTGGATTTCCCCGCAGTCTGCTTGGTTCGGGCCATTTTTCACCAAAAGCTGAGATCTCAGGCCGCTTCTTGGACCTCCGCGTCGCTCCAGCCGCTCGGGAAAGAGCCGCAATCCCCAAGCAAGAGGGTGACACCAACTCTACCAATGGACCAAACCGTTCTGCTTGGGACAAACAGTCCTAATGACTGAAGCTCTTTACTTGAACTCTGAGGCTTATAGGCTGTATGCAGTTTCCAGGTGACACCTAAAGCTTTGGAAGGAGTTTGTGTGTGAGATTTTTTTTTTTTAAATTTTTTTTTTTATTTTTTATTATTTTGTGTGCGTGTACTGTCAAATCAGATCTGACTGGTACAGGAGGATATTGCGCCTCCTTCTCCGGCAGAGCATCTGGTGGATTCGAACCGTGTTCCTCTGGGATTGCAGTGCAGCTTCTTGCCACTAGGCCACCAGAGCTCCCCTATGCGTGAGATTTTAGACACAAAAACTAGGCCATCTTCTGGGCCAATTGACAGTGGCAACATGTACCAGGGGATTATTTCCCATAATTTTGTAAAGAAGTTTAACTTCTTTAGCCATCTTAATGTGTGTGGGAGAGCTTCAACTAACCCAGAAAAGGTGCACATGGCTATAGGAAGGTATTTATAACTGAGGGGTGCTGGCTTGAGTTCAGTAAAATTTATTTCTACTAGTTGTCTGGCTACAGCTTTGGGGTAAATATCCTGCATCTGGCAGGTCTTACCCTCTTTTGACTAAGGTACGTTTGTTTGTTTGTTTCTTGTTTTGCAAAGTCTTTTTAGCTTTCAGATATTTAGCATTGTTTGGCATGACAGGGGCTGAAAGGATTGGAGTGGGCTGTGTGGCTTCAGCATTGAGAGAGGCCCGATGGGCCAAGGCATCTGCTAGTTGATTTCTTTTTGTCACGGATTCTTCTCCGGCCCAATGTTTTTCTCAGTGGATTATTGTTATCTTTGGCAGCCATCACACAGCTTGTTCAGAAGCATTTTAAATAATCTTTATAGTGGCAATAAGGAGCCCCTTTTCTCTGTAGAGTTCTTTATGCACATGCATGGTTGCAAAGGCATAACGGCTGCCAGAATAAAGCTCCCTGGAGTGCTTAGATCAGGGCAATGAGTTCCGTTTTGGGGCTGAGATCCTTGGGGTAGGTTTTCAGCCAGCAGAACAGTAGTGGTAACTGCAGCTCCAGCTTTCCAAGTTCTGTTATAAATGAAACTGCTACCATCAGTGAACAAAGTTTCTGCATCTAGGATGGGACAGTCTTCGAGATCTGGTCTGGAGGAATAAATAGTATCAAGAACTTCTTTACAATCATGTTCTATTGTATTCTCAAATCCAGGAGCGGGTAGGGTTAGGATTCCAATGGCAGTGAAGATCAGTCATTTACTCCCCTGCTCCGGATAAGAGGGTTTCAATGGCATGGAATACTGGGTTGTTTTGTTGAGGTTCTGCCCTAAGATGAGTTTATCAGCTTTTTTACTAATAGAGCAGTGGCAGCTATTGACCAGAGGCAGGCCAGCCAGCCCTGGGCAACTGAGTTCAGTCGCTTTGAGATGTAAGCATCTGGATTAGTACTCCTTTTGCTACTTTAGAACTCTCATGGACAAAAAGGTGAAAAGATCTTGTTAACATCTGGCAATGCTAATGCAGAAGAACTGACTAACTTTTGCCTCAGGGTATGGAAGGCATATTGCTCTTCCTTACCCCAGATCAGTGGCTGATTTGGGTGTGCTGTAGCTATGTAAAGTGGCTTTGCTACCTCTGCAAATTTTGGTATTAAGAGTCTGCAATACCTTGCTGCGCTGAGAAACTCTCGGAGCTTTACAGTGGCCAGCACTGGAATATGTTAGGATAGCATTTTTTCCAGTTTGTTAGTTGTTAGGTAACATATGAGTTTAAAGTTTAAGAAGGTAACTGTTTGCTGACATATTGTTTTCCTTTTGAAGGACACTTTATAGATTGGGTTTTTTCTAATAGCAAGTGGAACAGTTTGTGTGTGTTTTACAGGCAATTGACATCAGTGTCTACAGCAAGTAGCAGATTATGAACATATTGCAGAAGATTTCTAAAAATTGACTCGTATTCATACAAGCAAACCCCTGAAGCTTCTGGAGCCTTTTATGGGTATCTGTGGCTGACTGAGACACAAAAGTGAGGTTAAGTGTCAGATCAAAAAGAGGTCCACATTTGAAAAGCTTTGCAAAGTCTCTCAAAAAAATGCCTCTGGAGATTCTTTTGGACCCTGCAGTACTTCAATTGTTGTTATTGTTATGTGTTGCTCGGAGACCTGACAGGAAAGCTTGATAAGCATCTAATGATTGGGACACTGCAGTGATGTTGTGGTCCTACTCAGAATGGCTAACTGACATGATTTCTTGTAATTGGTTACACCTTTCTTGAGTTGTTTCTGGGAGATTTTCGAGGGTAACTTTTTCAGCAGTGAAGAAGATATGCTTGTGTTGAGGGAAAATTCAGAAGTTTCCTGGTAGAGCAGGACAGGTGGGAACTTAGAGGGGTCCCTAGTTAGGGGTGAGTGGACAGAAATATTTGGTCTTTTTATTGCACTAAATTAAGTTCTTTCACCCCAGAAGAGAAAGAAGGGTGGTCTTTTCAAGATCCTCCCTTCTACTTTGTTTTCTGTTTTACTTAGAGAGGAAAGAAGCTCAGATAACATCCTAACTGAGGATAAGGAGTTTAACTTTGGAAGAGACCAAGGTTCATTCTGGGTGAGTTATCTACCTCAGACACACAAAGTCAGAGTCTACATGTCAACAATATAGCCCAGTAATTAGACTTTCCAATTCTTCTAGTTGGGACGCTGTTAAAGAGTAGGTTCCAATACAGTGTGTTGTGCCACAATCACGAGTCCCCCAAAGGACACGAGGGAGCCGAAATCGATGCAAGAACATGAGGGATTTCATTACAAGCTCTCGAGCAAGGACTCTACACACACACAGATGCAGCGGCCACGTGGCAGAGCCCCCAGCACTTCGAGACAAGAGTTTTTATTGGTGCTGGGAGTGGCAAAGACTGAGTGAGGGGCAGGGAGTTTCAAGGAGATTGGGGAACTTGTGAGATAAGATGGAGATGGCGACATGGGGATTGGCTAATTTGTAAATGAGCGGGCTCATTAGCAGGGGCCTGAACATTTGGCATACTCTGATTGGAGTAAGGTTCATACAGGAGGAGTTAGAGTCACTTCTTTGTTCCTGAGGTCCTTTCAGGAAGTGAACTCGAGAAAAACAAGGACAAAGGACTTGAGATGGTGGCCAGACCAGAGATATATATAACAAATTTTGACTCTTAGATTGTGACAATAGGAATAAAGTGGACAACCGAGCCCTGTCAGGAAATCCATCTCTAGTATAGTCAGTGGTTGCTTTGGCCTTGCTCTGAATTAAAGTAGCACCAGAATTAGGCTTAAATTAAGCCCACAAAATTGTGTATGAGAAACTTTATCTAAGCCACTTTTCTCCATCTCCTCTAGTAACATCTCTAAAAATGTTTTTCTTTGTAATTCACAAGTTTGTTCTCTCTAGGTTTGCTCCCTTTCCTATAGGTAACCTGAACACTGAGGTTTGTTCCAGACCCTGAGCCTTGTTCCAGAGATAGACCGCCAGCTAAGGAAGCAAAGTTCAACCAGTCACTTTCATTGGACTCAACCTCACAAGTCAAAAATACTCACTCCCTCAAGGATCAACCCAGACGTTTGTCTTACCGAGGACCTATGATTAGGTCCTCCAATTACCAAGAGAAAGGTAATTGGAGAAAGAGAAATGTAAGAGTCAAGATTTGTTATATATATCTCTGGTCTGGCCGCCATCTTAAGTCCTTTGTCCTTGTTGCCGCCATCTTAAGTCCTTTGTCCTTGCTTTTCTTGAGTTCACTTCCTGAAAGGACCTCAGGAACAAAGAAGTGACTCTAACTCCTCCTGTATGAACCTTACTCCAATCAGAGCATGCCAAATGTTCGGGCCCTTGCTAATGAGCCCGCTCATTTACAAATTAGCCAATCGCCATGCCGCCATCTCCATCTTAACTCACAAGTTCCCCAATCCCCTTGAAACTCCCTGCCCCTCACTCAGTCTTTGCCACTCCCAACACCAATAAAAACTCTTGTCTAGAAGTGCTGGGGGCTCTGCCATGTGGCCGCTGCATTGGTGTGTGTGTGTGTGGAGCTTGTAATAAAATCCCTCATGTTCTTGCATCGATTTCGGCTCCCTGGTGTCCTTTGGGGGACTCGTGATTGTGGCACAACAAGTGTACTGAACAGAAAGGGAAGTTTTAGCAGGGAGGTTAAACAAGGATGAGCTGATTCAAAACTCTAGAAGGGGAACTTAAGTCCTCTTATCTCCAGTAGCTCTAAGACTGCTGCCAGGGCCTGATTCTTGGAGTGCTAGAAACAGATCAGGAACTCTGAGCACAGAAGTTTACTTATTGTGGCATGGAGGAAGAATAGTGGAAATGTATCCACATTTACAACATTCCTCTTACCAAAACCATTTATGGAAAATAGGGACTGCATTGGAACATGTATCTCTGGATTGGAAATGATGATATTGTTAATACTTCTAGCATTAAGCTTAAAAGATTATAATGTTCAAAATTATTTGTTATACATTTGCTTAAATTTTTCCCTCTTTTAACAACTGGGATCTAGAGGGAAGAGAAAAGACCAGAGAATGGCCAAAATTATTGGGGCAGCTATTGCTGCCAGTTT